TTTTAACTTTCATCTACCTTCCCTATTTTTATTATCTTCAACCCTTTTACTAGTTTATAACATTTACATTTTATTCTGTAACTATAATCCCCACAGTTGTTTAAAATGTATTCCTAGAGCTGAATGAATTTATTACTCACTGTCAATACCTTTGGTATAGTTTCCACATTCATCTCTTAGTTACTTATATTTCATCCTTTAATAAAAATTTCCTCAAAAAGCGTGAATGGAAATTATTCCCTGAGTTACTGCATTTAAAAAACATACGTCTCTTGCATTAATTTTGAACAACAGTTTAGCTGGGTATAAAATTCTCTTTTTAAAAAAAATTATTTATTTATTTTTGTCTGCGTTGTGTCTTCGTTGCTATGCGTGGACTTTCTCTAGTTGTGGCAAGCGGGGGCTACTCTTCGTTGTGGTGCGCAGGCTTCTCACTGCGGTGGCTTCTCCTGTTGCAGAGCACTGCCTGTAGGCACGCAGGCTTCAGTAGTTGTGGCACGCGGGCTCAGTAGTTGTGGCTCACGAGCTCTAGAGTGCAGGCTCAGTAGTTTTGGCGCATGGGCCTAGTTGCTCCACTGCATGTGGGATCTTCCCGGACCAGAGCTCGAACCTGTGTCCCCTACACTGGCAGGCGTATTCTTAACCACTGAACCACCAGGGAAGCCTATGGGTATAAAATTCTTCACATTTTCATTTCCTAAAGTCTTTATAGGCATTGCTCCTCTAACTTATATGTTGAATGTTGATATGTGGAAGTTTGAAGTCAGCCAGATTCTTTTCAGCATTGTAGGTGAGTTGATTTTATTTGACTAGATGCCAAAAGAATTTTTTTTATCTTCATAGTTCACTGACTTCACTAGAATGTGTAGACATGGCTGAATTCTTACAATCTATAGACTTAAATCTTTTGTTTCTGGAAATTTTTCTTGAATTACATGTCCAGATTTTTTCTTTCTTCTGTTTTTTTATTTTTAAAGTTGTTCTCTTATTGGCAACAGTTATCTATATGTTAGATGTATTTCGTTTTCTGTATTTATTATTTTCTAATTATTTTAAACTCGTGTTGATTTCTACTTCATTTGTCCATTTTCTCAGTCCTGTTCTCTAAGCTTCTTACTGGGTTGCTGGTAACTATTTTGCCTTGGGCTGTTAGCAGATTTCTTTGATGGAATGGTTTAGAAAGCCTGTACTTTTAGCTAGCTCAAGGCTTTTAGATTCCAACTGGCATCCTGGTAACAAGTAGCTAGGGCTATAAAAATAAATCTTTGAAAGAAGGGACAGATGCTTCTCACTGTCTGCCAAGTTTGCTGTTTAGTCATATTCCTTCTTTATTGTATTCCATATAATCAAAATTCCCCTTTGAGGTTTTGCTTTTTCCCTCTCCTACCTACTCATCTAACTTCCTTGCAGAAATTCTTTTACTTTAATTTGAATGTGTATTGTTATGGATGTTGTTAATTTGTGGATTTAGAAATAAATGTTTGGGGCTTCCTGGGTGGTGCAGTGGTTAAGAATTTGCCTGCCAGTGCAGGGGACACAGGTTCGAGCCCTGGTCTGGGAAGATCCCACATGCCTTGGAGCACCTAAGCCCATGTGCCACAACTACTGAGCCTGTGCTCTAGAGCATGCAGGACACAATTACCGAGCCAGTATGCCGCAACTACTGAAGCCCGCGCACCTAGCCAACTACTGAGCGTGCGTGCCACAACTACTGAAGCCTGCGCACCTAGAGCCTGTGCTCCGCAACAAGAGAAGCCACCCCAATGAGAAGCCCGCGCACAGCAACAAAGGGTAGCCCCATCTCGCCGCAACTAGAGAAAGTCTGCGCGCAGCAACGAAGAAACAACACAGCCAAAAAATAATAATAATAAATTAAATAAATAAATTTATTTAAAAAATTAAATGTTTGGAGGATTAATTTGTTCTGTTATGTGGAAGAAGGATTTGGAATTATCTTTTTGCTCCCATAACAGATAGAGTATTCTTTCCCT